GCTGTCCTGCACAGCTGTACCCTGGTGGTGTGGAACTGGGGATGAGGCTCAGCTGCAGCCTCACTCCCAATTACCACAAACTGTGTGCCTACAACAGTTCCTGCCTTTTTTTTTTTCTCCAAACAGAGGACAGTAAGGGATGTGACCTGCACACAAAACTACTGATTTATGCTGTGCTGACTAGAAGGAGCTACACTGTCAGCAGGACAACTTCTCACAATTACAGTGTTTACTTGCCTCACTGAGACCAGAAGTCCATGTTCTGAATGCAGGAAAAAAATCTATGGACAGTTCAAATACAAGACATAACACATGTAGAGCATGTACAAGCTGAATGTCTCCTTTATGTAAAAGACAGATGACACATACTCTAATTAAAGGTTAGTCAAGGAGTATAATGACTAGAGGCCAAACATGAGAGATGGTAATCTTGATTACAGGTTGGTCAGACAGATCAAAGTAATAAATTGGCTCAGTGTTCCTAGAAAAAACTTTATGAACTTTTGATGAGAAGATTACTATGTCCTGAATTCCTTCTCCATCGCTTGAGACCTTTTCTTCCCTTAAACAGCCCATACAATATAGACACTTTCTTCTTGTTCTCTGCTCTGACCAGTGCTGAAGCATCGATGAAGTGGAATGAAACATTACACAGTGAAGATTAACTTCAACCCATCAAACCCAACAGTGGTTTTAACCTTTCCTGGCCTGACCTATCTGTACTCACTGAGCTCCTCCAATGACTGTGAGCCACAACTCCTTGCCCCTGAACTTCTCCTTTCAGCCCAGGCATTGCCTCCTTCACAGTCTCCTCCAGTGCTAGACCAGCAGAATCCACCACATGCCTCGAGCCATCTCTTTCAGGATCCTATCCACACAGATCTCCTCCAGAGCTTACCTGAACTGACCTAGACCATCTCTTTCCTACCTCTCTCCTGCTCCACAGCAGTTTCCCTCACACCTTCAAGCACCACCACATCCTTCACAGTGTGCTAACATGCCCCTGACCCTTGTCCAAGAGCACAGAGCTGAGCTATGCTTCAGGCTCAGAAGGGAACCCTTAGCCCTCCCCACCCTGACAGCTCTGCTGCTCTACACCCTCTTCTCCCACCCATGGTCTTCAAACAGCCCCCATCAGGCTGTCTCTGCAAGCCTCAGGCCTTTTCACACCCAGCCACACCTCAATGCCTTTGACAATCCAACTCTAATGCCCTTGGACCACAATCCTCTTTATTCCTCTGCCCCAAACAAAGTGCCCTTCCCTTCCTCTTTCTCCAGCAAGCTTCTGCAAAGCCCCAGAGGTCCCTGACTCACTGTAACATCACTTCATCCATTTTCCTGCAGTCCTTGCTGTGAGGATCATGCCCCTGTTCTCTTGCCTCCACAGCTGTGGCTCACATCCAGCATCCTGCACCCCCAACAGCTGGCTCCACAGCTGGCCTCCATCCCAGCCACTGACCTGCCTTCACTGCCCTACCTGCCAGGAAGTGGGGGGAGAAAGGAGGGAAGAAGGGAACAGCAACTCTCTTCCTAGAAACTGATCTCCAAACCTCAGATGAAGAATGACCTCTCATTACCCTGGATTTTGAGATCACCAAGCTGAACTTCTGGGTTATCGCCTCCTGAAGCAAGCCTGAACAGATACTTCCATCAGATAACAGGAAACGTTGTGTTGTCTTAATATCAACCACTCCAACATTCAGATAATTTTCTAGGTTAAGCAGAGAAACAGCAAGCAAAAAGGGGATTGAAAACCTGTTACTATCTTGTTTTGTTGCAATGGTATGAACTACCTGTCTTCTCATCATCACAGACAGCAGTTGCTTAAGGATGCTTAGAAAATGAGTGCTTAATGTAAAATGAAATAGTTACCAATATTTATTTAAAAGAAATACAGTGCAATAGTTCCCCCTACCGACAGCACAAAATCACATTACTAATCAATGTTATTTCCTGGGTGGTCCTCAAATTACTAATTCGCTGCCCTGATGTGGTCCGCATAAGCTAACCAGCCTCCTATGCTTGCTGAACCCTAAACGACAGAGGGCAGGTCTGAGCAGAGACTTAGTCTTAAACTGCACCAGGGGATGTTCAGCTTGAACATCAGGAAGAATTTTTTCATGGAAAGGGTGGCTAAGCATTGGAATGAACTGCCCGAGGAAGTGGTGGAGCTCCTGGAGGTGTTGAATAAAACAATTGACTGCGGGTCTTACGTTGATATGGCGATGTTTAGCCAAATTTAGACTCGATGTTCTTGGAGGTGTGGTCCAACCTCTGTGATTCTAAGTCACAAGAGTTTGGGGAGTTTCTCCGTGGCCCAACTCGTCCAAGAACTGCCCTTTGCCTTTTCACTGAGCACAGCTCGGGCACTGGGGACACCGATGCCACCGCGGCTTTTGGGGGAGCAGCGCAACCCTGAGTCCCCAGGGATGCCATTGGTCCCCCAGCGCGGCGGAACCCAGCCCTGTGCCCTGACAGCACGAAGGCGAAAGATTTCGGTATTTTTCAGCTTCCTGAAGACAAGCAACTTCCTCCAGGCTCTGAGCTTTGCCCAGGTGCCTGTCGCGACTGGGGCTCCTGCGACAGGCAGCGGGCAGGGCCGTGCCGCGGGGCTGACGCACAGGAAGGCGCTGCTGCCGGGGCCGGGGGCGGGCACGGCCGCTTAAAGCCCGCGGGAAGGGCGGCGGGGCGGCGGCGGCGGAGATCGGCCCGACCCGGCACAGGCAAGGCGGCGGGGACGCGGGGACAGCGCTCCGAGCGGGACGGGACGGCACGGGAAGGGACGGGACGGGATGGGAAGGGACGGGATGGACGGGGCGCGCACCGATCCTCGAGCGGGCTCCAGGGCAAACCCGGGGCTGGTCTGCGCTGCCCGGAGTGCGGCTGGACACGGCTCCATCCCCGCTCCTTGCCAGCCGCCTTACAGAGTGGTTAGGACAGGACAGCTTGCACTAGAGACCAGGATGCTCAGAGCTCCATCCAGCCTGGCCACGAGCACCTCCAGGGATGGGGAGCCCACATCTGTGGGCAGCCTGCTCCCACCCTCACAGTAAAGGATTTTTTAAATGTCTAATCTCAACCTACTCTCTTTCATTTTGAGACTATTCCCCCTGTCCTCTCTTGTAGACAGTGTTGCCCCATCTCTCCTGAAAACTTTCAGTTCCCTTCAGGGGCATTCACGATGAGCTACAAGTGCCCGACCTTCTCAGCTGTCCCCGCAAAACCTTTTGTGCAAAGGGAACATGGGTTGTACGAGCACGTCACAAAAATCCTAGGGACAAACGCTACCCGTGTGCTTTGCAACAGTTTATGCATGTGAGCATCCCTTCAACTTAACGGCAGGCCTAAGGAGGCTGCAGACTGGACAAAATCTTGCCTTTATTTTCTTTTTTTTAAATTTTAAACTTTGGATTAAAATATTAAATTTCCTCACTAATCTTGTTAGGATATCAAAATCACCAGAATTCACTAGCATTTATTTACAATAAAAACTCCCACTGAAAGTGAACAGACTCACTAGCATTTTTGGTTGGGTAGGGGTTTTTTTGGGTGTTTTTTTTTTTTTTTTGTTTGTTTGTTTTTTTGTTTTTTTGTTTTTTTTTTTCTTTGAGTGTGAGTTCAGGAAAAAAAAAAAAAAAGTTTAAGATTCAGTGATCCTGGAGGTCCCTTCCAAACTTTAACAATTCTCTGATTTTATTCTATAAATTATTAATGCGTTATGATTTCATTCCTTGTATGTATCACTAGAAATAAGGTTTGGGATTCTTTGTAACTGTCAATACAGCAACACAGCAAAACACTCCTGTACCTAACTCCTCCTCAGCAATTTAAAGAAACAAAGTAAATATTCAGGCAATACTTTTTTCCTTTCAGAATGGAAGTAACAGAGAGGAGGGAAAAGTCACTGGGCACATTTCCACTGACGTTATATACAGTTTCTTCATACCACACACAGAATCATCCTATCAGCTTTCCTTGAGAAACTAAAACCTGTCACTTTTACTTTTGAATGAGTAAGTGCTCAGGACTCCATTAAACCTTCAGATACTTTTTTTTTTTTTTTTTTACTTTAAAAGTCAAAAGTCTTTCTTCTGACTTTAAAAATGCAACATGAAAGACTACAGCATTAAAATATGATATCTTTATTTGAAACAGTTGACATTCTGAAACTACAGTTCAGAACTGGAAATAGAAAAGCTGCATATGAAAAGGTCAGCTTTCTACAAAAATGTCCATTTTGATGAAATTTTGTCTTTTTCTTCAGGAAAAGTGTCTATCAAAAATGTTCCAACAGATCCATATTTTGTTGGCCCACTTCAGTCTTTAGCCCTGAATGTATTTTGTGTCTTTTGTTAAGAAGAAATGGAAGATTACTGTGGGATCAGGGTGTTGGCAGAGCCCACTGATCTTAGCCCTAGGACTGAGATCCCAGGGCACATCAAATATAATTCTATGGTAATTTAAAGTAGAGATGTACTAGATTTAGGTTGTAAAGCAGTACTGTCCTAACAGAAAATTAGGGGCTTTAGGAACAGCACAGTAACACACAACCATGATGACTTTAGGAAAAATTTGAGTGGTATGAATTCACCCAGAGGAGAGCAAAATCATTGCTTTCCACTACCCTTCAATAAGAATAGTTCTACCTGGGTTTGAAGAGTACAATCCTAAACTTCTTCCCTTGATGAGAGATGGTGTGTAAATGCACTTTTGCCACTTTATAAGCATCATAAAGTATCTCCAAAAATGTACCTAAAGGAAGGGAATTGACAGAGATGCCCATTCAAGTGTAAGACCCAAAACTTCTTTAATGGCCTTGCTCACTTTTTTCCCTCTTCCCTTTAACTAACTAAATTTACTCAAGTACCAACTGTTCTGAAAGACAGAATAAAATGTCAACGTATATAAGAGCTGCAATGAAAACAACTGATTTATGCAGTTTGGGTTAGTAATTCATATGCATTTTTCAGCTGCAAACATGTTTAATTCCTTTCTTTTGTAGTATGTCCCAATGGAGTCAAGTTCAACAACTGGAAATAAAGTTTTTGGAGCAGGTGGACCAGTTCTACGATGATAACTTCCCCATGGAAATCCGGCACCTGCTAGCACAATGGATAGAAAGCCAGGACTGGTAGGATTTCATTCATTCTGTCTCCTGTTGTTTCAATCACCAACAATTCTTTTGTTTGCTGGCAGGCTTTAGGATGCTCATTTACAAACTGTGCAGGTATCTACACTCCAGTAGTACTATTTCACTAGTTATGGATTTAGCTATTTAAACTTTGGGAATATTGGGAGGTGAAGTTTCACATTTGAACTTACTCCTAAACAAAATCCAATAAAAATTGATTAAAAAAAAAATACAAGTTAATTTTTAATGGAAATGTTACACATTTACCTCTTGCAGCATAAAATTATTCTCTTGTCCAAAACTGCACTTAAAGCTGGATAATTCTGGGTAACAAGCCAGCTGTTTACAGGAAGTGTTCTCTAGGAGGTCCATTTATGCACAAATTTTGTTTCAATTCTCTTGAGAGTAACCTTAAGAAGATTCCAAACTAAATGCAAAGGAAAAAAAAGTTATTAGTCATACCAGAAAGAGACATCTCAATTTTCCAAGCTAACTCCACAGGACTATTGGAGGACTATTGTGCAGGGGAAAAACTGCTAAGGAATAGTATCTTTCTTTGTGGTTTATGGCTCCATCTTTATGGGGTTCTGGCAACATGGGTAACATTAAAATCTCCTTTTTGCCAGTCGTGGAGTTAGCAGGCATATCACAAACAGGCACCTGCTATTTGTGAGGAAAGGAGAGAGGCTATCCCAAGGGCAAGGATGCCATGCTGTCCAAACTTTCCTCCTCAGTTTTGCTCACTAATGCCATTGCACTGCGCTTACCAAGCTGTACCACGAACAGCAGAACCAGTAAAGCCTGGCTGTGTCTGTGTCCTGTGTCCCCTACATACCCTTGACCAGTAGCCTCAGAGTCCTCCTGTATCCCCAAATAGTTTGGCTGGGGGAAGGCTCAGCTGGTTCCTGGTGTGAACTGATGTATCTTCTGCCTGACCATCTGGCTGTTGCCTCCTGGAGCAAGTTATTGCTGCTGTTTCCCTCAGTGGAGGTGCTAATTTGGAGTCCTTTCTTCTACCAACCTGCCAGATTGCCATGAAATTTGTAAGAATTTTATCTTTTGGACTTCAAGCCTGTTGCCAACTTTGTCTGAAACTGGGCAGCAAATTCAGAAATTATATCTGTGTGACTGAGTGAGACGGACAGTTTGCATAAGCCCCATTTCCTCTGACAAGTGAGCTGGAAGTATTTAAATATTCACTGGACCAGAGACTAGAAAACTGTGGTTGTCTCCTCTGGCTGACTCTACTGTCTGTGCAAATACCTCACCCTCCTTTTATGCATATCTGTAGGAATTATTTTTATAAACCCCACAAAATCATAAAAATCATTATTCACAAGCTCTAACTATATGCAAGTCACCATATACTTAAAGTCTTTTTTTGCTGCCTAGATTTCTGAATAGATTATAATTTTCTGTGCTGCTAGATTGACACATCATACAGCATTTTAAATGTGCATTGTTGTTGTTGTTCATTGACTCTTTAGGGAGGCTGCAGCCAACAATGAAGCAATGGCAATGATCCTCTTACAGAATTTGATAATACAGGTGGACGAACAGCTGGACCGGGTGTCACAGGAGAAGAATCTGCTCTTGATCCACAACCTGAAAAGAGTCAGGAAGCTGCTGCAGGTGGGTCATTACTTCAAATGGCAAAGTGCACTGCACACTCTCACTGGTCTCTGGAGGCAGTGCTCGAGCTCTGTGGAGTGCAGTTTGTTCCAATGCCCAGCTCAGAGCTGCCCCAATTGCCATAGACTCTGAGCAGCTCTGGGAAAACTGAGCCTCCAGCAAGATTATTCAAAATAACAATTCCACTGTCTTTCTGTGGAACAGTAATTCCTGTTTCAATGCACGCAGCTTGGATACAAATGCTGTGACTTCTTAGCTCTGTGCGTATCTGTGTTTCACTGAGCTCTTACAAATAAGACTGTACAGTGCTTATAGATGCTCATGTTTATTACAAATGTAATTACCACCTCTCAGACACCTACAGATATTTAACTATGGAATAAAACACATGCTTGGGGCTTAAGGCAGCACCATGAAAAAGGAACCTCTGTAAATCATTAGCATGCTTGCTGTTTTATGCTTTTCTGGGATTATTTGTTATGAATTGCTTAAAGGATTTACCGTTAGGCTTCTGCAAAATGATATTTATTTTGATTGGCTGAATGTTTCTCTAATAATTGTTTATCTAAGGCAAGGATTCTCAGAGTTCCACTTCATTAGTCACCTACTTCCTGACATCTATCTGTCTTCTGCATAAAGCAGATATGCCATGGAGTTTGGGGGTTTTTCTCTTCTTTGATGGTGTTTTCCATAAGTACTTAAATGATAATTACATTGCTTGCCAAACATTTTCTTTATTTGAGACATATGTACATACACACACACTGGCCTGGAAAATCTTCATGACTTCATCAATTACTTTGTTCTCTTCATAGCTGTATCTTTCTACTCTTTATCCCTAATGGTGGCCTCTTAAAAATATGACATTGTTTCCATCACTGCCACTTTTTCATCCTATGCTATGCAAGCAACCTCCTGTAATTTTCTGGTTTTGGAGCAGCACTTTTCATAATTTCAATACTCTTCAAACACCAAATTTACTCAGCTGCAGAAATCCTTTTTGCTATGTAATGATCTTGGCACATTTTACCACAAAGCTGTATCACCTCAGTAAAAGATTCTTCCACAGGAGAAGATGTGTGGAAAGAGCATTTCAGGCCAAGCAGTTACACTGGTGTATTCCTGCCTTAAAAGACAATGCATTTATGATTGTACCTGCACAGGCAGAAGGACTAGAACACATTTACATACAAGATCTACAAAATTAAAGTCTCTCATTGTTGTTCCTTCTGCTCTTTGCCCATTTATTTTATTCTAAATTTTTCACCAAAATTTGAAGCATCAGCTCTGTGTGCTCTGCCAAACTGGGCACACCGAGCCAAGCCATCAGGCCTTGGGTGAACTCATTTGACTTCATGTAATAATCAGTGTGAAAATGGCCTGAATGAAAACCCTTTCTTTCAATTCCTGTCATGTTTGGAAATTATATCATTATGTGCTTCAGGAAGAGCACAAAGCAAAGGAGGCTTATTCCAGAAAGACAAGAGGAGGGGAGTTTCAAGTGATTTGTGATTAAATGGTTTCTCAGGTGCTAGGGTCTGGGTCATGATTCCAGAGCAAGTCAAAATGCTCAGGCATCCCCATTACAGCTGAGCAGTGTTATGAACTCCTTCAGAGCACATGTGTGATATTGGAATTACTTATACTGCTCATAAAACAGGATCAGAATCTTGAGCATTGCAGTAGAATGTTTCTTGGTGAGAAAAAAAACCAAAACAGCAACTCTCCCTATCACTAGTAATGTTGACCTTTCTTCATTGCATCAAGACAGCACTTAACCTTAATTTACACAAAAAGCTATCAAAATACACATGTAAACCACCAAAAACTGGATGGCACTTTCACTGTTGGAGCTTTTCCTGATTTTGAACACTACTACCCACAGTCTATATTTTGATCTCCAAAATAATTAGAATAGGCTGGAGTAGCTCTAGGTTCTTGCAATGCTTGATAACAACCTATTATTGGACAAGAAAAATAATTTATACTGTCTTAAGAAATCTGTGACACCAGAATTTTGATTTTTGTGTAAAACACCATGTTACAACTTATAAGGTATAGGACATGGAGGATAAATGCATTTTCAGCCAAAGTATGGGCTGCATGTTCTGTAGAGCGGCACAGGTAGTCTCCTGCTGCAGCTGTTAAAATTATTTCTTTCACTGATTAGGTGAGTACATCAGTAAAGAAATGCTATAGTAGCTGAAACCAGCTGACAGCTATCCTTGTCATCAACTGTCAAGTGTGATTAATGGACTGAATGTGACACATAGCATGGACAGTATGTTCTGTAATGTTCCTAACTTTGAGTATACAAATTATCTAATTATGGGTCTAATCTTTTGTTAATGCATCACTGGTTGCATTTTATTGCTGAATATGTGAGAAGATTGGAAAGGGGCATTTGGCTTCCCAGCCACAGCTGGAAGCCCTTGCAGATACCTAACTCCTGCAGTTTGAGCTAGTTTGTGACAGGTTTGTGAGACAGCACCAGAAAAACGTGACTGATGTACAGAGCAGGATGCCATGGTCCTTTTTGTCCCAACACACCACCTAGGGAATGGGAGGCTGGAATGCTACACTGTGAAACTAATGAGGTTTTTCAGTGACTGATGAAAGAAAGACTGGGTTCCCAAACAGGGGAGGAAGCTGCTTTTGTAAACATCTTTTCCTATCTGATGACTCTCTGAACAGTGTTGGTTTGACTTTCTCTGAAGGTTAGTTACCATGAGCCCACCTTCATCTCTGCTTGGCTCTCTAGTGCAAGCACTTCTTTGAAATTTCACAGTTCCCTCCTCTTCCTTCCCCTCTGAACCACACACAGATGCACAGACCTGTGTGCATCGTGCACACACACAAAGCTGTCCAACCACAATACAAGATCTGAGTACAATGTTTGTTCATTATTTTGAGCCAAATTTTGTTACCCTGTTGAGTAATACTTGACAAAATAGATGATGCTGGAAACCAGCACTTATCACTAGATACACAGCATAGTGTGTTGAGCTGTGGTAAAGGCTCCTCAACGCAATGACAATAGCAATAATAAAGAAAAATTCAATTAGAGAACACACAAAAGCTATTCAAAAGCAACCTGCAGTTCTTGACAAAACACAAATGGAGAGACTAACATTTAATCAGAAATACAAGTGGATGGTTAGTGAAAGGCAGCCTTAGAAGAGGAAGCAATGCACACTTCCTAAGTGGCCTGTGCAGCTGTTTTCTAGACAGACAAGGACTCCTTAGGATCAAGATTCCCAATGCTGTTCCTGAGTCTGGAGGGTGTTATTTCTAGGAGTCTCCAGCACCACAGCCAAGCACACCTCACCTAAAAAATTTCCCTGGGATTTTTGTTATAAAATTGAGAAAATCTTCTATTCAGACTGTTTACTGAAACATCTCTACATAAATATGTTAGCTGTTCTGTGAAAATAAGAATGAAAATAGTGAAGGAAAAAAGAATTTACCTGCCTCAGTTGCAATGCAGAGTTTTGGGCAACCTTGGCAGTTGTGAAGGGCAAAGAGCAGAAGTCCAAGCAGGAAGATGGGTCTGCCTGGCACCCCTGCTTTTAGAACACAGGGACCATCCCTATTCTCTCACCATTAGAGAAATAACTATGGAGTGTGGCATTCCTGCTTAGACTGCTTACATTTCCAAAATTATCTGCAGGCAAAAAGAAACACTGAATAGTGCTTCAGGAAATATGTAATTTGAAAAAGTTATAAGCACTTGACAATAGTGTTAAGAAACTTAGCTAAGCAGTTGTTGTCACTGCTAGCTCTCTGTAATTCACTTCTCTATTTCTTGCTCTCATTGAAACATACCTTCTTCCTGACATTAATCTGGTATGAATGCACATACTTTATTAAAATCAGGGTCAGCATTTTAGGTTAAAATCCTTCATATTTGCTTCCTACATTATTATTACTTCTCAAGTCAGTAAATTGGATTCATTTTTATAGCAGAGCAGCCTTTTGTTTCTGTGCTCTTCAGTGGGAGGCAGAACAGCACAGTCACTTTCTAAGGTTAAATTCTCTGTCCCTCTTCCTAGAGAGCTCCTGCTCCCCCCAGCAGCAGTCTTGGAAAGGGAAGAGGGAGAAAATGTTCAGAGGCAGTGGGGGAAACTATGCTTATAGTTCTTTCTCTTTCTTAAAATCTAGATGGAGGAAAGCAAAGCAGATTAGTCACAAGGAGATGATTTGTGCTGTTGTTATGACAACAAAATGTAAAGGGCAGATGTTAAGCTTGGAAGAGCTGCCTAGCACTTCTAGGAACCAAATTGCAGATGTAGGAGTCTGCATGACCTTGGCCTGTGGATGATTACATCCCAGTTTTCAGAAGGAACGTTTCTAAGTGACAGCATCACATATATGCGACACCTGTCCCTGATGTGAGCCCCTGTTCCACACACCAGTGCTCAGAGACCCTCATGGAAGACAGGCACTGTCCACATTCCTGACTCACATGCCAAAATCCTGGGTTGGGAGAGAGCAGCCAGGCTGCAGTGCAGCCAGGGAGCCAAGGGCAGGGGAGGCTCAGAGGAGCCCAGGAATCAGAGATGTGCACAGTGCCCTCATGTCCCACCGCTCCATTTAGGAATGATGCTGGTGGCAACTGCCTGTTCAGCTCTGGGATGTCCTTTCCCACACACACTCCAAGCTGGAGCACTCCTCTTGCTGGACAAGAAGTAGCTTCGTGGAATGCAGCCTGGCCCAAATATGGGTTCAGATAAGCAATCAGGAGGAGCCTGTGTCTGTGCTGTGCTCTGTGACAGGTGCAGGACAACCCCATCAGGAAAAAAGCAGAAATTCCCAGAATCATCCTACTCATAACTGAAACCCTTATTTATACTCTAGTCTCAAGATTACTTCTGAAAGCAATCCCTTCTCATTAATGGCAACATGCATCTGTGTCACTTCTCTATTTATGGTATTCAGGGTGAAATCTGATTACATAAATTTTCCTTTATAGAAGTGAAATAACAGATTTCTAGAATAAG